TGGGATATGTTTCTTTGTTTCTTCATTCTGGCTGTCACTCTGATTGCTTCGATGTATTAGATCACCTAGAAAGAAAATAACAAGGGGGGGAGGGGCTCTCCACCCAATTTAATCTGCAGACCACTTGCTCAGCAATAGAGAGACTCTGGGTGACTCAGCACCAGCTGTTGGGGGGAAGGGCTCAGTGCATCATGCGCCGACCTCACTCTAGACTTGAAGTAAGCTTCCCACAATTAGTTGCTGTATGCTCTGGAACCGTGGTCGCCACCAAAAATCCTCACAGGTTGTTGTGGGCTGTCTGCTGCTTCAAAAATCCCTCTATGGCCTGCGGAGGTAGGGGCCAGGGACCAGGGGTTCAGGGTGCCCCTGGCAACACAGCTCTAGGTGGGTGGGGCAGGACCCCAAGGAACCAAAGGGTGTGGTCAATGGCCCCCACCAAGTCAGAGCAGCATGTGCTCCTGCATCGGCAGCCAGCCCACACAAACTCGCCAGGAAAGCCCCAGCCAAATCATGCAGGCACACAGCTTGTGGCCCTACATTCCCAGGAAAACTCCCAGTCTCAGCCTGTCCCAATCAGCCGCTCAAAGATCAGGCCGAGCAGCCCAACAGCCAATCACCACCCAGGCAACTCTGCACGCGCAGTGCAGAAATCAGGGACCTAAGGCGAGTCGTGCACTCCCAGGTCTCAATAAGCAGCCTGTTGGAGTCGGAGTGCACCTGCCAGGCATTTCCCTGGCTACGCAGCAGAAGCAGTGTGGAAGGTGGGGTTCCAAGGCCACATGCGCATGCACACATGCACACACGCACGCATGCACTCCTGCACCAATTCCAGCAGACCAATGCAGTCCCAGACCTGAGCCTCTGTGAGAGGGCCCAGCCCTGAAAAAATGGCACCCTCCTGTGCACTACTCATGTGCAAACTCCAGCAGGGGAACAATGGTCCCAAAAACCTCCAGCTCCCATGCCAAAGGCACTCAGTTCAGTCCTTCCCCATAGGCTCCTGGGCCCTGCTTACAAAGCTACTCCCTCCACCAGGAACCGGGTGAGTGCTCACCTGTGAGCGGGTCAGTTTGCCAGCTCTGCTGGTTCTCCAGCTGCACTCAGCCTTACCAAGTTGAGCAAAGAGAGTCCTCACAATTTCCTACTTCCAGCTATCATAGAACTCCTCTTCCTGGCAAAGTAACTCTGGGCTGGTGAGCGCGGTGTGGGGCCGGAGGGTCTCTCCCCCAATCGGAGAAGCCTCCCCATCACTGAGGTGTCCCTCACGGGATTCACCCTCTCTCGTCTCTGCCCCTCCTACCAGATTCCACGTGGCCTCCTCTTTATGTCCTTCATTTAGAGGTTCTGCTCATCTAGTGTCCAGGGAACTTCCAAGGTTGAATATCTTATAAATTATTCGTAATTTTGGTGTGATCCTGGGAGGCAGTCGGCACAGCGTCTGTCTATTCTGCCATCTTACCGGAAGTCCCCAAAGACTTGTTAATAGATCTAAGCAACCACCTCAATAACCTAGATAAAGAAGAGAAAAATTAATCCAAAGCAAGCATAAGGAGGAAAATGATAAAGATAAAAGCAAAAATCAATGAAATTGAAAACAGAAAAGCAATAAAGAAAATCAATGAAAAGAGCCCGTTCTTTAAAAAGATCAGTAAAACTGACAAATTTCTAGCAAAATAAAGAAAAAAATGAGGAAGATGTAAGCAGGCTAACTAGAAGTGAGACATCCTAAGTGATTGGTTAAGGGTATTTGCCTTTCTGCAGGTGGTACTGAGTGAGACGAACCTCCAAAATATTATACTGAATGAAAGAAGCCATATACAAGAGGCCACATATTGTATGACTCCATTTATATGAAATATACAGAATAGGTAAATCCTTAGAGACAGAAAACAGATTGGTGTTTGCAAGGGCTAAGGGAGGGGGAAAGGGCTAGTAACTGCTTAATGAGGGTGGTTTTGAAACTGGATAGAGGTAGTAGTTGCACAACATTGTGAATGTACTAGATGCCACTTAATTGTTCACTTTAAAAGAGTGAGCTGTATGGCATGTATATTAATCTCAATAAAGCTATTACTTAATTTGATCTTGATAAAAATCTAAAAGTCAAAGAGTTCACAATTTAACTTCAGAACATTATATCAGGTTTTGTATATTTAATTGTGTCCAAGAGAGTGAGCAATAAAACTACAAAAGTGTATTGGAACCAGTTAGACAGGTGGACTATAGTTTTAAATACTGGAAAGTTGCTGATAATAGGCCATCTCCAATCTAACATTTTAATCCTTGCTGAAATTCCAATGTAAATTTCATAAGTTAAACATTATTCCTCTGAGAAATGTCTGAGAGAGTGTCAATTTTGAAAACCCCTTAGTGGAGCAAGGTTCCTCAGCTTCAAGACAGGACATGTGGTTGGAGCCTCAGCTACAGAGTTTGGGTATTGGTGTCAGGTGGCTGCTGTGCACCGTGCCTCACAGCGCAGACGTAGGTGGCTGAGTCGCTGGGCTGAGGAGTTGCAATGTATAAAGCACTATGTTTTGACGTTTTGTCCAAGGAAACTTTAATTCTTCCAGTTTCTTTCACTCCCTGGCTTGACTGAATTATCAGAAGTGTGAGCCCTTTTCCAGGGTCCTGCCTAAACCACTGAATGGAATAAATGGCGCTATCGGTGTAACTGCACTTGAGAAACAAGCTCTCTCCCTCTTGGACAGTCAGAGCTTCAGGACTCTGATTCACCTCCTGTTTGCTGCTCACGTCTGTTCAGAAAGAGAACATAGAGAGGGACTGGTTAGTGGCTAATTACTCTTTGGAAATTACTTATAAATTATTATTTTTTTTAATTTTCACAGAAACTTTCAGAGAACTATGCTGTTACAACTCCCTGTCTTTCTCTCTTCCCTGGGGAGCAATATCCTGGGGTCTGCCTGTTCTTTGCCCATTTCCAGATCCCTCTAACTCACAGTCCAGTTGCAGCCAAAAGATGAGCAGGCTCAGGAATTTGTCCATTCTTTCTGTCACTTACACTCAGTGAGAACTGCTCTTGTGTCTGTAGTACTGACAAGAGTCACAAGATAAAGGACCTGCTTTGTTATCTCTATGTTCAAACTTTTCTACAGGAAACACAGAGTCGGCCCAATCAGAGAGAAGTCACACACGAATGCACACTGATCTGCAGAGTGGGAGGCAGAAATGGAAACACTATCATCTAGGGACCCAGCCCAGCATTGCTAGAGAAATGAAAACAATTTTTAAATATATTAAATTTGTAGAATGTAGCTAAATCAGTGCATAAAGATAAATATATAGCATAAATACTTATATTAGGAAAGAAGAAATCTAAATTTTTACTCTGCAGTTACAGCTGCTTTCCCCAGATTCCTATAACTGTTCCCTCCTTTTGCCGTTTCAGTCCTTAAAGACTGGTTTCCCTTAACTCACACTTTGCAAAGAATATGGAATCACAATATTAATATTCCCTGTGTGTTATAATGACAGAAAATTGGTATTCTAATATCCAATAAAGATTTACAGGTGTCACATATCATTGGATGCCAAAAATTCCACTTGGCTGGGAATTTTTTCTTAAGAAATACCCTTATAAAAATATTTATTAAATTGTATATTGTGTGCGGCAAGAAAAAAGTGAAAAAATTAAGTATTCATCAATACAAATATTCAATACATTATGGTAGATCTATATTATAATATACAGTTGTGAAAAAAATGGACTTCAATTTTCTGACTTAGAAAGATTTCTCTGACTTATTCAATCATATCAAAGCACTTTACACATAAATTGATTTATGTTTTTAAATTATATGCTTATTATGGATATATACATAAATGAAACAAAACAGTTGAATATATGCTCACTAAAATTTTAACAATAATTAAGAACTTGTGAAGAACAAATAATGTCTCACTTTTTATTCTATATGCATAAATTTTTTTCAATACTTTAAGCAATTAAATATTAACTTATACCTTGTCTAATCATAAAAATAAGGAAATTAATGGCTATGTAACAAACTAAGGAAAAAATCAAAATAAGAAATAAAGTTTTGGTTTTTATTTAATTAATAATCAATTATATTTGAACATGGATATGAGTTAAATTGAACTGTAGGATATTAATGATACAACCATTTGCCATATTCAGACAGTGCATCTAAGATGGACTTGTAAGTTTCATAAGAAATTATGTTTATTATGATCATCATGACTTCTGAGAACAAATAGTCATCATCTTTTTGTATGGTGTTTTTTGTTTGTTTGTTTTGTTTTGTTTTGTTTTTGTCTCTAGCCAAAATCCACAGTAAAATATGCTCACAGATTTTTTTTCTTCCAGTCAGGAAGATAAAACTATTCCTCTCTCAATCACCATAACTTTTCTCCTTATACTTTAAGGCATTGGTTTTTGGGGGAAATTACACTGGATAATGCTCCTTGTCTGCTTAATGCTATCGTAGGAAGTTTCCTGATTGATGAACTTTGTCCAGCTCCACATGTCTAACAACTATGAGTAGTAAGTCTGTGCTAGAAAAAACTTGCCTTTGAATATTGCACCCTAGAGTCAAAAAGAGTGCAAACTCGCCAGACCATGTATTCTTATTTTCTTACATCTAATATGTAACCATTCAAAAATTGCCAATATGTCTTCATCCCACCGCCACTAGGAGCTGTACCTCCAAGGCTTTCAGCACTTCAATAGCTTTATGTTTCAGCAGCATGGAACTTGGTGTCCTATTTCCTTGGTGTCAATGTGCTGATTTATGATTGTGATTCAATTGACTGCAGTTTTTAATCATCTATTTTTTCCCTTCGCTAAATGAATATATTAATTTGGTGACATCTAACATCCTTGATACATTATGAGAAAATAGAATTTTTTTAAAGCCCAGGATGACAAAATATCAGTGATATAGATATCAGAAAGTGGTTGTCTGTAGGAGGAGGGATTTGACTGGAAAGGGGCACTAGGGCCTTCTGAGGTGAAGGGAATGATTTATATGTTGTTTGATACAGTATATAATTCTCAAGACACATTGAACTGAACATTTAAGATCTGTGCATTTCATCGTGGGGAAAAATTAGACCTCAATACAAAAGTGAACCAAAATAAAATAAAATGCACACAAAGAAAATTCGTTTGTCCAGCATTCTGTGATTGTTGCAGAAATTTATTTGTACTTTTCTAATTGTTACAAAACAGCTGTAGTTTGGTGCAATCTACTCCCAACCCCTCTGACAAATAAATGCCTGAGGCATGGAATCAACAAAGACTAGCTGGACCTTACTATGCTCTGAGAAGCTAAATATATACAAATAAAATGATTAAAGAAAATGGAAGACCATATAGCTCTGAATGTAAAGATCAACAGCTATCCATAATAATATGAATAAATCTCACAGAGGTAAGATTGCGTAAAAAAAAAAAAGCCAGATACAAGAGACCATGCTAAATTATTCTATTTACATAAAGTACAAAAACAGAGAAATCTAATCTGCATGGTCAGATGTCAGGATAGTGGTTACTTGTGTGTGGTCAAGAAAGGAGTGGCTTGGCATGTAGGTGCTGGTTACCTAGGTTGCTCCAATTTGTGACAATTCATCTAGCTCTATAATTACGCAGGTGCACATTTCTCCATGTATAGGCTGCTTTGTTTTATTTTGGTTCCTTTTTATTGAAGTAAAATTTATTCACAATAAAATACACAGTTCCTATATGTTCATTTCAATGTTTGAGAATTTTATATACCTATATAATCACCACCCAAACAAAATGGAGAACATTTCCATAATCCCAGAAAGTCCCGCATGCCTCTCTTCAGTCAAAGCCTCCTTCCCAGAGGAAATCACCTTTTGACTTCTATCACCATAGTTCAGTTTTTTCTGTTCTTGGATTTCATATAAATGGAATCATACAGTATTTGGGAGGAAGGGTCTGGTTACTATTGCTCAACATAAAGTTTTAGAGACCCATTCTGTGTTGCGTGTATCAGTCAGTGGTCCATTATTTTATTGCTGAGTGATATTCCTTATATATAATTATTTACACATTCTGCTGCTGACAGACATTTGGGTTGTTTCAAGTTTCTGGCAAATATGAATAAAGCTGCTATACACATTTTGTATGGGTCATTTGTAGGTCTGTGTTTCACTTTTCTTCAGTAAATACCTATGAATGGATTTGCTGGGCCATAGCAAATCCCCAAAGTGATTGCATCATTTGACATTCCCACCAGCAGTTCAAGAAACATCCAGTTACTCCACATATTTGCCAACATTTGAGGTGGTCTGAGGGTTTGCTTTCAGCCCTCCTAGGGGGGATGAATGGCATCTGAATATGGATTTCATTTGCATCTCCCTAAATAAGTAATGATGTGGAGCATATTTTATGTACTTATTAGCCATCCTATTTATGTATTTTGTTATTGTGTTATTTTTTATTATTGATTTATGAGCGTTCTTTATGTATTCTGGAAGTAATCCTTTTCCAGATATTTCCTTTTTTTCAGACTCCAGATTGCTTATTGGTTTTCTTAATATTGTCTTTTGATGAGCAGAAATTTTAAATTTTGCTTGTGCCTTACTTAGCATATTTCTTTTATGACTAGTGTATTTTGTACCATGCCAAAATCTCTGCTTACTCTGAGATCTCAAGGATAATCTATACTATTTGTGCTATTAGATAATCTCTACTTTTGTGCTATTTTTAGTAGTAGCTTTTGAGACTAAAATATGCACCTTTAATTAATTTTTGTCTTTCAAATAAATGAATAAAATATGTTCTTGTTGCACCTGAATATGCTATAAACATTCACAACCCATTATCTTTAGTTTGATGTAAAAAGACAGCAGCTTTTTAAAGTAAATAGTTATTGAAATTATCAATAAAACTTTAAAATTTTTACCCACGTATCTACCTTTTCTGGTATTCTTTGTTTCTTTTTGTGAATTGGAGTTTCCATGTGATATCATTTTCTAATAGCATGAAGACCTTCCTTTAGCATTTCTTGTACCACAGGTCAGCTAGAGACAAGTGATCTTCACTTTCATCTCTCTAAAAATATATTTCACCTTTATTTTTAAAGGCTATTTTTGCTGGCCATAGAATTCTAGGTCATTGCTTTTCTTTCTTTCTGGCATCTTACTATATTCAGCCACTGATAAAAACTTGCAAGATCTGTGGGTGGGAAGAGTGTTTCTTGAAGTATTAAATCAAGTATTTCTTCTTTTGCCATGTGAGGACAATGAAAGGGGCAGCTGCCTGCAGCTCAGACAGAAATACTCAGCAGAAACCAACCTCATTGGCGCTTTGATCTTGGACTTCCAGCCTCTAGAACCGTGCGAGAAGAAATTTCTGTTGTTTAAGCCACCCACTCTGTGGTATCTTGTTATGGCAGCCCAAGCTGATTAATCTACTTTCCTATTCTTTATACTCTATATTTCCTACTCTATAGACAAACATGGGTCCTTCTTGTGAGAGGTACACATGGTCTTTGCATACAGATCTTCCTTGTTTTACAATGACATACAGGTGATGCCAAAAAAATGTAAACACATGACTTGTATTCATCTTTTGTTATCGGCATATATTAAGCATTACAATTTTAATACAGTTTTTTCCTTTCTTAAAATATGTATACTTTTTTTGGCACCCTCTGTATATAAAAACATTGAAATATTTTAGTTTAAACAAATATTCAAAGAGCTAAGATGGGTAAAAATTCTGGCCTCCTTACAGATGAAAATTATCTTAGAACTTAAAGCCCAACCCCGGTGACTGACCAGATCACATCCTTGGGGATTTAAAGGCCTCAGTGATGGTGGAGGGGACTGAACACGCAGAGTGAGGGCTCCCTGGATGCAGCCTTTCCTGACTGGGGACCTCTCACCCAGTGTGTAGTGTGGACAGGAGGAGGGGGTGTCCTTTGGTGCCCTGACCTGCGGGTCCCTCCACAGCAGTTTTCTGAGGAGCTGTATGGGATAAGGGGTTAATGGGGAGTTGATTTGAACTTTCTACAGCAAGACCTGAACCAGAAAGGGGCAATGCTTGTCTCAGTTGTGGAGACTTATGCAGGACACTAAAGACCAGATTCTGCATCCCTTGTTTGTTTTGTGAATGTTTGCATGAAAACCACAAGATTACTGGAGCTTTTGAATAGTTAAACAGTTAAAATACCTTGGTTGAGAGTAATCCCATTTGAGAGTTTTCCTGGAAATGTTTCCTATGAGAGGCTTGGAGTCTGGAGAAGAGAGGAGCATTTCTGGCTGAGCCCAGGCACTTCTGGGGATCAAAGCATGAGTTCTCTTTAACACTGACATCCCCCTTATCCTACCTGCAGAGCAATTCCCAGCCTCCTAGGTTCTAGGAGTTACCTGAGCTTGGTTCATCTTCCTGAGAAAACGCTAAATAAATTCAGCACTGCTTAGGGAGAGAATACAACCCTTCCTCCCAGGGCTGCCCACAGCCAGGCCCCACCTGTGCCCCTCTGGGTTTCTGTTCAGCTCCCCCTGCAATCCCCGTCACTGTGTCTCTCAGAGCACAGTAGTACACAGCTGAGTCTGACACTTGGACTGAGGATTTCTGCAGGTGGAAGGAACTGTCACTCTTAACAAGCTTGGCCTCAAAATCTTGATGCTTTGCCTCCTGGTTTTCTGATATGCTCTTCAGAAGGAGCTGGGGAGCTTTATTGAGATACTGGACATACCATAAAAGGAAAGGACTTGAATAACTGGTCTGGTAATTGCAGTTCAGGAACACAGATGCGCCCTCGGGAAGGATAACAGAGCCTTCTGTCTGGGTCACTGAGTCCCCACTAGACCCTCCTAAAAAAAAAATTATATTTTTATGTGCATGAAGAGAGTTTTCAGCCAGGGAAGAAAACTAAAAGTGTCTCAGATTATAGGAAAATTAAAAACCATTAAGATTTAGGATAAAATGTTACTTACTGAATATTAAGATCACAAGAATTAAACAGGTGGCAGAAAGCATGTTGGCAGAAGAAAATGATCCTTGCTCCTCGGAATACACCAAATGCAATTGGGCTGGTCACCAGCGGGATCTTATAGAAACTCCTCACTCATAAACTAAGAGACCCTTTCTGCACAGCAATAGCCTGTTTTGTGGCTATAAAGGTATTCCAGTCAAAACATCATCTGAATACGAACGCGAACCACATCTGAAGGACGCAGCGCCATCTTGTGGTCGTCTTTTAAATTGCACCACAGCCGTGTCTTGGACCCTATTTCTCCTACCAGCTTCAGGGAGATACAGGAGAATGGGTTAGGACTCTTAAGAAGAAAACACTCAACATTCACTGTATAGGTTCATTAGTATGCTTGGGGAAATGTTTAATTATTACTTCCGTAATTTTCTGCATGGTACAGAGTTCTATAGCTTCCCAAATAATCCCAGGCACCGCTTTTAAGGGGCATAGTCTAAGGTATCTTTTTTGCATATGTCCCCATGGTTCCCATGGATCAGAGAAGGATCCCTTCACCTAGAAAGTGCTGCACACTCTCCTCCAATCCTTTACCTGATTAGTTCTATTCATCCCCCAAGATTCAATCAACATGCCATAGAAGAAACATTACCTAATGCAGTTGTTGATCTGTGGTTGAATGACCAGTTTTTTTCTCCAATCCATCATGGACTGATACATTTGTAAAATACAACTAAAATAAATTACTGTGACTTCTGCTTCACCAACAAAGGTAGAGTACTATAGGAATTGACCTTTCAACTAGAAGACTGGATGAAATAAATGAAACAATAATTTTGGACATTGGACTATAGGTAGCACAGAGACAGGGAACACAAATGAGATGAGCCCTAACATTACTGCAGCCTGCTTTCTGGAGGCAGCTTCTAGGCATCAGTGCAGGGAGGACTTACCCAAAGTAGCCCAGCTGTCTCACTGTGTTGATGATATAGAGTAGGAGTTTGGGATCCAGAGGCACCTAGAACGTGTGGATCAGCTGCAGGGGGAGTCACTTTGACACTTTGATCTTTGGCTGAGTACTGATCTGCACATATGCAGAGAAAACTCACTGAATTTGGTATCCCTTCCCTGAAAGGATCTTCTTAGGGGTCTCTGGACCATGCTTGAATGGCAGTAGCCTTACACCTTCAGCCTTATGAGGGATAAGTAACCTCACTTAGGTAACTTGGGGGTTTTTTTGTGGGGGTTTTTTTTTTAGATTTTTATTGGGGAATTGGGGGGATGGGAACAGCGCTGGGGAATTGGGGGAAGGGGAACAGACAAGTTGCTGTTGTTTTGTTCTTCAGTCTAGTTGTGGAGGACATTGCTTCACTGGCCCAAGTTGGCACCATCATTGCGCTCTTCCCAGGCGAGGCAGATCAGTCACCAGCTTCTGGACGGCTGCTCACTGCGGCTGCTGGCCGCTCACGCTGGCTGCTGGCTACACACGGTAGCCCATGGCAACCCACTGCCACAGGGGCTGCAGCCTACGCCGTCGCCGGCGACTCATGGCAGCCCAGCTCCTGGTTGAGCTGTTGTTCAGCATCTTAGCTGTAGAGGGCAGTGTCACTGGCCCTCATATGTGGGATCCGAACCGGGACCCTCTGGCGTCCCAAGCCAGTTCTTAACCATCACGCCACTCGGCCGGACCGGTAACTTGGTTTTTGATATGCTGTCTTTTTATTTCTTATCGTATCATTGTTTTAATCCAATTAAGTATTTGCTTTTAGAAAGCCAAGTTTAGATGCTTAATATTATTAGCCTGGTTCTCTTCATTCCAAAGGCATGTATATAGATAGTAGTTAGCTGTCACCTGTTTATTTATTTTATTAGGGAATTCAGGAATCTCAATTAAAGTTACTGCTTGTTCAGTGTCTGTCAGCTTGTTTGTCTAGTTTCCTTTGTAATTGTTTGTGTTAGTGAAACAAACCCAGCAGAAGATTTAAAAGGGTCATTTTCACAGCTTGTTATTTCTTTAGGATTGGGTTGACTTTATGCATGTTATGACAGTATTATAGTAAGAAATCAAAACACTGTTCCCTGCTTACATAAACCATGTTAAGGCATTGGGAGCTTGTTATTGCAGACTGCTGTGATATTTTCTTCCACAGGCTGTCAGTGGTAGTGCTGGCAATGTATTGGGTTGTCAGAAAAGTCGTGATGTATTTTTTCTACGTTTTTCGTTGCAAAAATGCGTCATGACTTTTCCGACCACCCAATAGTAACAATGGCTATGACTAAATCAGATAAACACAAGAATAATCTTCTTCAAATGATAACTATTCACCCTAAATAGATTTTCTCACCAATTAAAATTACCTTTGTTTTAACTCTTACTAAAATTAGGGTCTTGAGTAGCGTTATCATGTTGGCAAGAGTCTCTGGATAAGCAGATCACCTAGCTGTGCTTATCTGTTGTGCACGTTCAGCAGCCCTACACTCAAGCATTCTTTCTGGAAACTTACAGAGTTATCTACAATGTGTAAAGCTCTGTAAAAAACACATGAACCCAAACAAGACATGATTCCTATCTCCAAACTGCTTTCAATTGAGTGAGGAGCAGATAAGTAAAACAGATTCATCCCTAACCCTGCCTGTCCTCCCAGGCCAGGCCCAGGCATGTGGAACAGAGGATCAAACTGGAAATAGATAGCTGATGCATTTATCACTAGGTTAGTGAACCTGTTTGAATATCTCATCTCCAGTATTTAGATTTATTTTTGTCCTTTCAACTCCCTCTCCCTTTCTTAGGCCTGTTTGTCAAGATGTTTAACCTCCAATGCTCAGCTGTCTAACACCCAGTATGTAAGGGTCTAGACTGTTGGGCAAGAAGGTAGCATTTACCTTCAGGTTTGGGTGACCAGACACCACACACCTAATGCTTTCTCCCTTCTCCTCATTTCATCACATTAGTTCTCTGACAAGTTTCCAGAAAGATTCAGTATCCTCTAGCCTTTGGGATAAAATTAAGTTTCATATTAATACACCTTAAATTTTATGAAACTGAGTTTCAAAATCAAAAGCTGAAATTGCCTTGAAATTATCTTGCCTGAAAGCTGAATTATTTGAGGGGTGGTCTCTGGAGTTGGATTGATTGGAAACTCATTTAATTGTGACTAAACTGTGGTTCTTGGAGCCGATTGCCACTACCTCTGCTGGCCTCCTTTGAACCTTTTCTTAATTTGGAGCCTAGGATATGGAGGTAAAATTAGGGCTGCCCTGACCTTAGAAGGGTTCGTTCCTCCTCCCTACTCCCCAAAGCTAAATATTTTGGAGACACAGTGATGTGGTTTTCCAACGGCTCAGCTTTTGCTACAGAAGTGCCACAGAGCAGAAGCAGTATGCCTTCATCGGTCCTTGAGCTGAGTGGGGGCAATGATGAAATAAAACAACTCAACTCTACAGAGTCCCCTAAGTGCTTTTGCCAGTGCTGTGAGGGATATAAAAGTGCAAGCACACTTCAAAAACTGTATAACCTTTTTAGAGTGATGGGATATAAACTCATAGGCAGGTAATTCAGTGTAGAGAGCTCGGGTGAGAATGGTCTCTATCCTTGGAACTGAGTACACTAGTTCAAGTCGCTTCACCTCTCTGAACCTTAGGGGTGTTTTTTTTTAATCTATAAAATGAGGTGAATTCTCGGTGCCTTGTCTTGTTCACAATGTTGCTATGAGGAGCCAATGAGATAATACTTATGAAAGTGCATTGTAAAATTAGGTGGTACAACCGAAATACTTTCAAAAATATATTGGGCAATTTATCTCTAATATATTGGAGAATTGAAGAGGCCCTGCCTGCTTCCTGAGAACAGCACTTTTATGTTAAACTTCGGTCATCTGCTCTTTCTCTGTCAGGACCTGGGGCTTATCAGGAGAGTGAGCATGGTGCGGGGGTGCAGCTGCAAATGGGGATATTTACCTGAAGGCATCTAGGTCCCATGTATGGGATGATTTTTCAAACAGTGTCAAGATGTCCCAGCCCTTGCAGTAATGTGAGCTTTGATTTCCTTCTTGAAAAACATATCGAGGAGTAGTTTGGTGTTATTAAAAGAATACATAATTGAAAATCTGATGTAGTCCCTAGAACCAACTGTACCCTTTATATTAATAGCAGTCATCATGAATTAAGTCTCTGCTATGTCAAGACGATATGCTATGTACCTGTGCTAAATTTAAGATAGATTAAAATATACATCAAAAATCAATCTGCAGTGCAGATGACAGGATTTGAATCTAGCTAATTTCAAATTTTTAGTTTTATTAAGGATAATGTGAAATGTATACAAAGTATACAGTATGGCACATTAAATCCTCATGTACCTATCACTCAGTTTCATCAATTATCAATTTATGGTCAATCTTGCATCATTTATACCCCCACCTACATTTCCTCATGCATATATATATATATATATATATATATATATATATATATATTTTTAAATCCCAGATATCATTTTATTTTGTCTTTGATTATTTTAGTATATATCTCTAAATTTTGATTTTAAAAAACACAGTCACAATGCCATCATCACACTTAAAATTAAAAATAACTTCTTATGTATTACTTAATTGTATATCAAGTATCCAAGATGTGTTCAAATACCAATTATTTTAGTTTGTTTGATTCAGAATCCTCCTAAAGGCCACACAGTGTGATTGGCTGATATGTATTTTAAGCCTCTTTTATTCTATAGGTCTTCTTATTCCATTTCATTCCTTGTAGCTTATTGTTTAAAAAAATCAGGATTGTCCTATAGAGTTTTCTATACTATGGATTTTGCTTATTATGTACCTCTGATGAGCTTAATATGTTCCTCTATCATTTATGTTTCCTGTAAATTTGTGATTTCAGCACAAGGGTGGTACCTTTTTAAATCTAGTAAACAACACACAAAGATGTTTTTCGCTTGTTTAGCTAGCCCCTTTGACGGAGTTACTATTTCACATCCAGCTAATCTTGCTGTCTCTGTTTGGAAATGTTGAAGAGGACTGGAGATTGCCGAGTAATGATGGTGTGAAACACAGGGGGTCATGCTCTACTTTGGAGAAGAGGACTGGTCACTCCCAAGGACTTCTAACGCTGATGGGCAATTTGCTCTCTTACAAAGAAAAGGAAACTCTCATTATGAAATCCAATGCAAGGGTTTTTAAAGATGACACGGCGGGGTAGGTGGGCACTAAGCTGTTGAACCTGCATCCCAGTGTCTGGGAGAAGGTGAGAATGAGGGCAAGCACAGCCAAGGGTGCAAGCAGTGGGCAGGTGGCACTATGGGCCAGACAAAAAAAGGCGACTGCTCCGTGCAGCAGAGTCAAGCGAGATAAGGGGTCAGGCTCAGAGTTTATTTGTATTACATGTCATATGTACCTAATATCTCTGTTAGTTCCCTCTTTTTAAAAAAATACAGTGGATCAGGTCCAGAACAGAAGTTGTGTAATTGAAGTGATTCAGGAAACTGGACAGTGCATTGAGTGAAGAATAGCTTTTTATTTATTTATTTAAATTTTAAAAATTGTATTACTTTGATTTACTTGATTTAAGTCAAACTCTAACCCAGGGGCGCTAGAACAAATTTGCAGTAGAGATACCGTGTGCAAAATCAGAGGCTCAGAGATATGGGGTATGAGGGTGACCAATTTTAGGGAACACCTGAAGAGGGAGAAGGATTTTGAAGAAGTAGCAGGGGCTGGAGCTTGATGGCTGCAATCCGTCACCTCATACACAGGGGCTATTTCAGGAACTATCCACAGGGCCCCAGCTGTCCTGCAGGCTGTGACAGCTTCCCATCCCTGGATCCCTATCCTGAGGTTCCCTGTATTACAGCTCCTGTGTTGGCCTGTCCATATTTAATGAGCTGGCAGTCTGACTTGGATGTGACTCAAGGACTCAGGCACAAAGCTTCAATCTTTGAATAACCTTTCAGGACTCCCACTCTACTTGGGAGAAACCTTGATTTCACAGCATCACTTTCTTTCATCCCTCTGCTACTGAGACTCAGTGCTGATTAAGACTTGCACCTTTTTAAAAACATTTGGATGCCCCCACTTTTTCATTCTGTTCTTGGCACCTATGAGCCTTGGCATTTGCAACCCCACTCTAGATTGAACTCTGTACTGTCAAAGGACCTCACCCAGTTACAATGTTCTTAGTTTCTCTAATGCCCAGTGAATTGTCTTCATATTTTTACAAGGGACCTTGGGCATCCCTGTGACTAGAAAATCGGTCTCTCAACCTGCCTTAGAACTTCACAGGAGAAGCTGTGTCCTCTGGAGGTCCAGCCAGCTAGTGGGAGTTCAGTGTGACCTTTTGCTTGCTGAAAGGGCATCTTCCACATTTCCTGAATCTGCAAAACTGAGGAGAGAAAGTATGTCTAATGCCTTGTGAAAGAAACCATAACATCAAATTCAAATAAAAACTTTTCCACTTATGAGTTTGCTCCTGTTGTACATAGAAGAGTAGTAGCTCCTGTGTTGAAAATACATGAGTGCCCAAGTCACTTGCTTCTTTGCCTGCTCCCTTTGGCTTCTTGTTATTACCCGGACATTATCATACAATGTGTGGAGCACCAAAGCAACTTCTATAACAATTGATAGTCCTTTCCTAAATAAAGGCAGCAAGGGAGGGTGTAGCTAGTAAGTGTTAGAAACAGTGGACGAAGTGCTCCTGCGAAGCTAATGAATTTTTGGAAAAGGCTATTCAGCAGCAACTTCCTAATTAAACCTCTACACATAACAGATGAGGAAACAGATTCAGAGAAGCTAACAACTTGAATAAGGTCACATAGGTTGTTTGTGTACTAAACTCTAGAACTTCAGTGCAATGCTCTTTCTACCTACTATTCTATACTGGATACCACTGGAAAATGCTATCTCCAGTAAAGGCAGAAACCATGTCTGTCTTGCTAACTAATGTTGTTTCCCCAATGCTTACCATAAACCTATCTTTTGAACTAATGAATAAATAATACTTAAGTTTATCAAAGTCAGGCGCAAGCTGTGATAGATGAAATCACAGGGGAAAAATAGCCATAGTTAAATGAGATGTTAATTCAGATTTGTTTGTCTTGTGGCTTAGCTAATATAACTAATAATTTTAAAATTTACTTTTAGTTTAATTCATATTGTGAATGGAAAACTTACATGGATTTTTAAATAAAATAAGACTACGTTAAAGTCATTGTGTATTTAACCAGAACTTTTGACCTCTACCCCCAGAGGATCTCGTGTTCCCAGATGTTCCATATTTTATAGAGAAGCTAGAAATTCAGTTTTTAATGTGATATCTGATTTTTAAATGGTGACAGCTAACTCAGAGGTTTTTAAACACTGGAACAAAAATTTAAAATACTTGCTTCTGAGCACCTATTGTAACATCTGTAAAAAGAAATGCATATGTTTGGACAGGAAGTAAACAGTGGACAATATTGATTGGTTCCGAGTTACCATGCAGCGGTCATTCTGGCCCTGGTTGCTGGGGGTGGGAGTGGGGGAAGGGAAGGCAAGGGTCTCAACAGGTTAAGAGACATTCCCACTTAAAACATCTCCTTCTGTAGGCAGCCTCTAGATGAGAGCAATACATTTAGATGCTTTTTTGAAATCATGATCATGTCACAAAAAGGGAGAAGCCAAAGAGAGGTAGTTTGAGGAACATTTCAAATCTGTTGTGCAAGAGGTCATTAGCATAATTATGGAAAGAAATATAAATTCAATAATTTATTCTACCTCACTGAGCAATGATACTATTTTTTTTAGAAAAACTGATGGAAGTCATTTTTATTACAATTGAATTACAGTATTCACTATGACAATGAATGCATAAATGTATGAATGATTCTGAAGATTTATAATGCATCAGTGGAGTCACCATTTGGTCTAATGAGATCCTTCTTCCACCTCAAAAAAAAACAACACAAGATGAACAGATTTTTCTGTTGCCCTTTCTTGTCTTATAATTTTTAATTACATTTATTGGGGTGACATTGATTAATAAAATTATATAGGTTTCAGATGTCCAATTTTATAATACACTGTCTGTATAAAGCATTGTGTGTTCACCACCCAAAGTCAATTCTTCTTCAGTGACCATATATTTGACCCAGTTTACCCTTTTCTTCCTCCCCATTCCCCCCTTTCCCTCTGGTAACCACTAAAACTGTTGTCTTTGTCTATGAGTTTTTGTTTGTTTGTTTGTCTTGTTCATGTATTTTATAATTTTCAATGTGCTACATATTCTATCTTAATCTATTCTAACAAATAGAAGATACACTTACATGGTGGAAAGTTCACCAACTTAATTGTCCGACCTCATATGCTTTTAATGAATGATATATCTAGACATTCAATATGAACTGAACTAAGGTTTCCTTGCCAAACCCCCACCTGTGCTGACACAGCCCCTGCTTCATCCTGTCTGTGATAGAGTCTCTACTCAGGGGCCCTATCTCATGTTGATGATTATGTGGGGCTCCCGCAGGCACCCACATCACTGTGGTCTCTCAGAGCACAGAAGTACACTGCTGAGTCTCCAACCTGTGAGGCTGTGATGGTGAGGTTGATGGAATTGGCTGATTTCTGGAAGTTCAGAGAATACTGATCCTCTATTTTGTTTTGCTCATCAAAAGAATCCTGATGAATAAGGAAGGTCATTTCCCCACTTGGTGGTTGCTTGTACCAGAATAAATAATAAGTGTAACTTTTAGCTTCATATACACAGCCCAAGGTTGCAGCCTCCTTCTCCACCACGGAAACTGCAGATTGGGCTTGATCTACCTTCTGGGTCATGCTGGATCCTGCAGGAAAGAGAAAAAAATAATAATAAACTGACCCTTTATTTGTACCCATGAGGGTATAAGTGATAAAGTGGCTTAGGACTCAGCACTCCCATTCCATTGCCCATTATTCTCCCTTTTAAGTCTCATCAGACAATTATGTGCTTCTCCCCACAACCTTTGGGACTGAGAGGAGCTTAAGTCCTGTGTTTGCGGCCATCCTTACCAAGACAGATAGAGGCTATGACTGCCTTCAGCACGTTGGCAATCAGCATATTAGTAGCTCTTCCCTTGAGTGAAATGTCCTCTGTTCTATCTCAAATCCAGATCTTAATTCTGTACCCTGTGCTCAAGAGGTACGGGTAAAGTTACTGGGCTGTGTGGTGCTCTGCCCCCATACAGGAAATCAGCAGATAGAGGACAAGTTTGCCTGTGTCGTGTAGCATGCTTCCTTTATAGATAAGGTAGGAAATGCTAGACTTCTGAGCACCTATTTTGCCTAACTATAACTTATTGTACTAGAAACAAACAGTGGGGAAAATGGAATCCTGCTCAGTTAATTCTTCTTTGATGGAAAATATGAGACTATTAGAGAACACAATTTATTATGCACTATGGTGATATATGGGATAACATAGTTATGCACCTTTCGATCTTATATATATGCCTCCTTTTCTCCCAAGAGAATCAAGGTGAAAAATATTCATGGGGTTTTAACTCTCTAACAGGAAGGAAAAACTTTTAGTCTCAATCTTTGTTCCTAACTTACATGGAATCCAGTAAAAGTTACATAAGAAATATTTTGCCATTAACGAATGATTTCACATCATGCCTCCTGAGTAACAAAATCTGTCAAGTGCATGTGCCATGTTAAGTAACAGTCGGGAGAAAACATACACATTAAATGTGTGTGTGTGTGACAACAAAAAATTCAGAAAAAAAAATTCAGTGCCTAAAAGCAGGAATTTCTGTTATAAGTCAATACATGTATTTCTGAAAATCCTCCTGTTCTTCCAAACCACATACATTAATTATGGTAGAAATTGGGGTAGGGAACACCCTTAAAATATAAAACTTTGTAACCAGAGCATTACCAAAAATGGTACAACTCTTATTAAAAATACCAGCAGACTTCAATCTCCATTGGCATTTGTCCTTGTATCATAGCCAGTAAACTCTTTGCAGCCTTAAACATTGGGATTTGTGTTTCACCTCTCTACATATAGGTCCACGAGTACATGTATTTCCAATATGACCACACTTATCAAAAATTTAAATGCAATTGTTCTTCATAAATCAATATTTTTAAGACTAGAGGTGGGAATGGCCTTACAGTCTTTTTATCCTTGCTCTTAGCTTCACCAGGTAGCTTACCTTGAAACCCTGGAAATGCTTGAAGCCACTAAAATAAACTCTCTTTACACTAAAATAGAGTTGAGGCTTTTTTTTCTTTTTTTACAAGAAACTTGCCCCTGGCAGTTCTTTGATTTGACACAAATTATTAATGTCCTTAGAAAAATCACAGAGAGTCAATGAAACTTCCACATCATGTTGACATCAAACCTGTATTTACTGTGTTAAAAAGAATTTGTTTTAATGAGATATACACTGTAGCACAACAGAAAATGCTGTGTCCTACACTCTCAATGAGTAGACATATTTGGCCTATCAGATATTTTTGTTTGTATTTGGAAAATATAGTCCCCATTTCCTTGGAAAATATGATCTGTGTGTCTCCTGATAACAGCCACCGAGGCTCAGCTATGGCTCCTAGAATAGCCAGGCTGGTCCTCTTTAGCCCCACTGAGACCCTGGGGTTTGTGCTCAGCTCCCCTTGCAGCCTCTCTCACTGTGTCTTCCAGGGCACAGTAGTACACAGCTGAGTCGGACATTTGCACTGAAGGTTTCTGCAGGTGGAAAGAGCTCTTATCCTTAACAAGATGAGCCTGAAAACCACCGATGTTCACCTTATTATCCGATGAGCTTTTCAGGAGGAGCTTAGGCTCTTTGTTTTGATGCTGGACATACCAGTAAAGCAAAGGTGAATAGCTGGTCTGGTAAGTGCAACTCAGGGTCAGAAATGCCCCCTCGGGGAGGATAACAGGGCCTTCTGTCTGGTTCACTGAGTCACCACAAGTGTCCCCTAAAAAAAAGGGTGGGATAGAAGGGGTTAGAAGTTATCCTAAAATCAAAGAATAAGACGGCTTAGAAATCTTCAATAAATGTTACTTACTCAATATCGACAAGATCACAAGTCCCAAACAGGAAGCAGACAGCATGGCTGGCGGAGAAGCAGGAGCAGGGTTTGGTTGGGAATAACCAAAGCTGAGAGCGCTGTTTCTCTACTTTCTTGATCCTTTGCTGGAATCTTATAGAAAATCTTGGCTCATGTACTAAGCAAGATAAACTGCCCTGCAAGAGTATGTGACAGGCTGTAAAAAAGAGAGATGCGTTCAGAAATGGAAGATAAATGTGTGTCAAACCACCACCCAAGGTGAGCAGCGCCCTCTTGTGGTTTCCCATGTGTCCTGCAGCCTGTTTTACATCTTTGAGTTTGACATTTACCCTGGAATGGAGCTTAAATTATAGACATAGAAGGGAAATAGGTGTCTGGGGTGAGGAGTAGAGCTCCGGGAAGGAAGCATCAAACACCTTCTGCCGACTTCACAATGGTGTTAGAGGCTGAGACGGTGGGCGATTTCTCTGTCATCCTCTTTAAGATTAGGCCCAATATGGCTCCCTTAAGTCTCCCTCGTCCCAGCATCTAATGTCTGTTCATACCCAGGATTATGCTAGCTTTAGGTATCTTAGGGTATACCGAGAGCGTAGAAAAGCATGGTCTGAGTTCTTTTCTTGACATATTCCCCCATTGGCCCCCTGGAACCAGGGAGTGAGCCTCTCTGCTTAGAATGTTCTCCCCTTTTGCCTAGGTAACTTCTATTCATTCTTTAAGAACCAATTTACATGCTGCTTCCTTGTGAAAGCACTCACTCAGCTCTTCAGGCTGAGTTAATGCCCATTTCTTTTCCCATTATAATTGTATACATATCATCACTATTATTACTACATCATATTAGAGTCATCTGTGTCCTGGTTTTCAAACTAGAGTTGGTGTCCCAGAGATCAGGAACTGAATCTTATGAGTCTCAGTAGAAAATATACAGTCCCTTAGTTTATAGTAGATTTTCAAAAAATATCTGAAGAATGAATAAATAAATGAATGAGTGGACATGTCTGGTAGGTACAGTCATCTTTTCAGGAAATATAGTCTAAATGAGAGCATAAGTCCTAGGCCCCTTGTGTCACCAGTTTCTTCCAGAGGCAGATTCAGGGCCTGGATAACAGGTGCATTCACTGTTTCTCAAAATACAGGTCTTTATATAAGGGACAACTCTCATAGCAACTATTTTTTAAAGTATTATGGTGCCTTATAAACATAAAAATGAAATTAAATATAAACTTTTTTAGGTTCACAGTTCTTACATAATTACCAAATCAAAATATAAAATCAATAAAACTCAAATTCAAATATTCATGTAAAGGATGATCTTTTGCTGAAACTAGAAAGTTGGTGTAGGCTTATTAGACAAAAGCTACAGATGTGTATAGTCCAATAATTCACTTGATTGAAATGATTTGGAGCTTAATGTATTATTGTCTGAATTATTGTAACTAATGGTTGCTAGTTTTTTTACTTTTCCTATTCAAAAATACCCATTTAAGTCACCATTGTAAAATTGTATTATTTAATGATATATATATATATATCATTAAAAATATATATTATATATTACATTTATAAATATATATATATATATATTAAATTTACTGTTGCTCTTACACCGACTGAATTGCATGTAGATACAATGAAATGATAAATGTGATTAATACACCCTTTTCCAATGGAAACATGGTGGGTAACTGTGCTAACATAGGTCCTTTGGAGTCTGGCTTGTCTGTAGTACCATGTTCCATGTCATAACAAAAATTTCCTGTAGATTACTATTATTCCATTTGTCTTTAATTTTGTAAAAATGACATAAAGAACACAAAAATATAAAAATCAAGGTGTGTATTCTAAATTTGTCATACAAATAATTAGAAATAGGCTTTTATTGTGTTATTTTGTTGTCATCAAACCAAAAACTCGAAATCTAAAAATTCTCATGTAATCCTCATCCCCCAGGGGTTGGCAAACTTTTTTCTCTAAAGGGTCAAATAGTAAATAGTTTAGGTTTTGAAGTCATTTGATCTCTTTTGCAACTACTCAACTCTGCTCTTACAGCACAAAGCAGCCATAGTTGATGCATAAGTAAATGGGCATGGCCGTTTTCCAGTAAAACTTTATTCACAAAACAGGTGGCAGAAAGCTTTGATCTGTGGGCCATAGTTTGCCAATCCCTGCTATCCCCAAGAATTTATTCATAAACCTCCAAAGATCTATGGATTACAGTCTGAAAAATTCAGCTATATATTTTTTTTTTGTTTTTGCTCTTTTTACAATATTATCATAGCTCTTTAAGGAGGCCTGAAATATAAGAAATATATTGAATTAGTTAATGGATAAAAAGGAGACAGAAGATTTGATCATCCTAAAACTTAAGATGCTTTGATGTGAGCATTCAAAGGAGAAAAACACAGATATGTTCCCTACCATTAAGGAGGTCACAGAGTAGTGGTGAAAACAGATTTTAACCAAATAACAAATGTAAGAAAACTGCAAGTTTGAAAAGGCAGAGCTCTGTGATTTTAAGCATGCACATTCAGCTTTCTTCAGCTACTGATTCTTGGTCAGATGTACAGAATAAACAGGCATTTACTGGTTTTCACTCTTTTGAAGGGAGGAAAAGAATTTAGGAAAAGGAATAAGAATGAAAAAAAAATCACCTAAAATTGCTATACTAGAATGAGATTATATACAAGTCATGGTTCTTACTGGTGAGCAACAGAAACTGACTCTGGTTGAATTAAGTAGGAAAGGAATAAATTAATTTATGTTGGTTTGCCTCAGATTCTCCAGTAGAGTCAGAGAACTGGACTCAAAAGTTATTGAGTCAGGAAAAATCCAGAAAATCACTCTGGAGAATTGTTCCTCTGAGTATTCCACTGACTCCTTTTCTGAGCTCCAGATACTGCAGCATGTGCCTTCAAGGCTGCTAGTATAAGGCACTGTATACAGCTGCAAACCCACTGCCCATGCTGCCCTGGAAACTGTCATCTTCAGCTTGTCACAATTACCACCACTGCCAAAATGGAAACTGTTAATCTTTTCTTTTTGTGTAAGTAACTCCTGAGTCAAA